GTATACAAAACATAAAGAAACGAAATTTTCTCTTTTTTTTGAAAATAGTGCCCAAAAATAACTTTTGTTAAAAACCTGTTTGTCTCATATCAAAAAACATGTTTGGCTTTTGTAAAAAAATTGTTTGGCTCATCAATTTCTTCATTTAAACAAGAACTGGATGTTTTATTGCACTTTCGACTTGCCCTAGATAGCTCTAGGTCTTAAAACCTCTGTAGAAGCCCTGAATTCGAACTCAAGTTCGTCCAATAATACTGGCTAGAAAAAGCTCAAATCGCTGTAAACCGTGGGAAAAAAGAAAATCTCAAAAAATGCGCGTAGGCAATTCTTCAAACCCTTGAAAAAAGGTGACTTAAAAAAACTGTAGGTAGCTAATTAAAAGCATCGTGATTATCAATTGTGAACAGGGGTGGATCTAGGATTTTTTTTAGGTCGACGAAATTGATTTTCCGTGCTCTCCTAAAGCACTAAAAATAAGCTGTTTTGGTCGATTTTCTGCGCCGCAGTCAAATTTTTGAAAACTTTTGGGCACTTTTTCGAAATTGCGTTTTTTACCCTTGCAAATGATGTTTTTTCACTAGGCATTCTTTAGTTTTCTACCTTTTATCTATGCAAACTCAGATACCACAATAAGTAAGATGGGTCGAGTGAGATATGGTAAAACTATCTTCAATCCAAGGGAACCTATGTTGAAGATAATCAAAAAACCGATGACGTAGCTGTGAAAAACTTTAGTTTTAGTAGATATTGCTTAACCTGCAGCAACTATTTATCAACACTAAACATTCATCTTTCTTTGCCTTCGCTTGTTTAGAAGTTTGTCGCCAAATTCAAAAACTCAAAATGTCCGGTTGCTGTGCAGTTGAAATTGCAATGATGCCTAGTCAATCTTCATAAAAAATCTACTTATCTTTGAGCTTTTTACTTCGCATAGGCTAGCGCTACTTTCCGCTCTTTTTTAAAGTGTCTCTCATTTTGCAATTTAGAATACACTGAAGGCTATTTTCAATCAAAGCAAAAATTTTTGCTCTTTTGTTTACAATTTTGTAAAAGCGGAAAATTCATATGTAGCTGAAAAAAGACAGCATAAGCTGAATAAACCATTAAGTATTACGCAATTGTTTCGGGAAAAAAGACTGGATAAAAAATTTAGAAATAAATCACACACTGAGGCAAAACAACAAAAGGATCAATCATTGTAGAAGGAAGACTCTGTGTTCATAAGAGTCCAATCGGCGCATTTATTATCACAACTCCCCCTTACGAAAACACATCTATTGTAATAATAGGTGAATAATTGATAGGGAAAACTTGTTAAATACAAAAATGATTTGTGTTTCAAAATAACCAGAATCGATCATAAATCGAGCAAGGAGGTTTGCAATTCACAATACGGTCTATCAGACAAAACATGCTTACATTTGCCAATGATAGTAGTCAAATTGATAGGTCAAAATTTTTTTTTATAGAAAGATGTATTTTTTAAACGAAAGCAAACATAGAAAACTGGAAAATTGTGACCGAAAACAGGAAATTGAAAACTCAACTTTTTTATTACAGCGAACGAAATACTAGATTTAGGGCCATTCAATTTCAAGAAATTTTTATAATTGTCCATATTTAAACAAGGGTAAGGAAACAACCCTACTTCAATATCAACTTGTATTTTTTAGTTTGCTGGTAATTAAAGTTACTTTGTAAGTTTAAACAAAAACATACAATCCAAAAGCTCCATCAGTACATTCTGTAGAACTTCCGAGAATTAAAACTATGAAATCGGGTTTTAGGAGAAAAATGTTAAGCTAAGGCGAAAAGTAAGTTAAGATTCAACATTAGCGCGGAATCAGATTAAGATTCAGAATCAGTCCAACTAATTTTACACTTTTATATGTTACCGTTTCGATTTTCTGTAAAAACGGCTAATAAAGGGAAACAGCAAAACATAAAATATGCCTTAAAACAAAATTAGCTTCTTCAAAAAGTAACAAAGATGGCCGGTTGCTGTGCAAATAGCTAAGAATGCGACGACCATACTAAAAAAAAGACATGTAAAAGGTTGGTTGTTTTTGTTTCAAATTAGGCGTTTTTTGTGCGCGGTGTGATAAAGAGATCAGACGAAAGCCTAGAATTTAGAAAAATTCGACAGTCACAGTAACATAGAAAACTTTGGCAACAGTTTTTGACAAAAAATGACAGAAAAATTAAAGAAAACTATCAACATCGAACCAAAACTAAAAAAAGTCTAATTTTTTTGGAACATTTTTTGGAATTCTCAAGTTTTTATTCCCAAAAACTTCGAAAAATGAAAAAATAAAAAAAAACTTCGAAAAATAATTGTTTTGGATTAAAACAAAAGTTTCGCCGCTTATCCTACTATGCTAAGCCTGCCTGCTCGCTTGCTTATCTTTCTCGAAATTGAACTGAAACTCAATAATTTTAAACCAGTTTTTTCGACACTTGTAAACTTTTTGAAATTTTTTAATTGAGTTATATATTACGCCGCCATTCAATCCAATGCTTATATGTGCTATATGATTTGCTAGACAAAAACAAAAAAGCCTGCTCGCTCACTATATTCGTTCGAAAATAAACCAAAAATTTTACCCGGTTTTTTCTCGACCTTGAAAAAATGTTTTGATGGTATATCAGTCGACTCATTCCGTTGATTGTTTGTGGTACCTGATTTTGAGTGGAAAAAAACTTTACACTAAGCGGAACAAAAAAAAAGTGAATTATAAAATTTGAGTCAAGTGGGCAATAATTAGGACTAATAAGCTTGCCTCGATTTCAAATCAGCAATTCAATATATTTGAATTTAAAAAAAATTGGCAGACAATATAGATAAGTGCTTCAAAGCGCGAGTAATTAACCTCAAACCCTTCAAAATTTTATTATTATTAATCAGTGGCTATATCGTTCTTTCCATTACGACATCGTAGCGAAATCATATATTCGCATGTGTATAGAAATGTTCCCAAAATCTAATATAACTATAAATTTTGCACTAAAATGAGCGACTTACGTAGCAAAAAAACTCAACTCATAATCACACGCGCATGGTGGCTTATGTAACAAAAACATATACTAAGTACTATTTGTGACAACACAAAATAGCCAATTGCGATAACAAATATCATATCGACAACATATATTGTAGCAGAACATTTAAACAAAAACTTCATCATAAATATTTTTACCGTAACTTTTCAAAATTACTTTTTTCTGACAAGGGTAGGAATTTAAAAAGTACAGCTCTAAAAAATAACTTGTATCAAACCTATTATGCTTAGCTGACGCGTCGAACAACATCGTTTTCTATTTATTTGCTTAGGTTCAAAAATGAGCGGTTTGAGTAATTGTTTTTTTTGTAAGCTTTTGCATAAAATTTACACGAAAATGATATTTATTTGAAAACGAAAACAAGCAAGGTTATAAAGAAATCAAACATCGCCAACTGACAGTTAGAAAAGTGTCAATGAATACAAGGACACAGGTGAAAATAAATGGCCTTAATACTCTTTATATTTCAAGAAAAATTAATGATTGTCCCTTTTCTAAAATTAACTCAAATTGAGAAAACTGAAACTTTGAATCAGTAAGCTTTAAGTTTTAACAGCTTACTAGAACCAATTGGAGCATAGTTTTCTTTTTAACAAATGTAATTTAACTGATCTTAGATTCAACCAACAGACGGTTAAGAAATTGTCAATGGACTCAAGAGATCGAACATATTGACTGATTTTTAGAAGCATTTTCAATATTTAATTGAACTAAACCTATTTGAATTTCTTGAACCTACTGCTAGAAAACTGGATCAAAAATGAAACTTTCATTTCGATGAAAAATCAAACTATAGCCAACAGTTGGAAAAGAATCAATGAACGCTAGGAAAAAAACTGGCTAATTTTTTTTTCGAAATAAGCGAATTTCAAAATGAACAAAATAAGTTCATTGAGTTCTTTGAATTTCTAGAAAAATTTATGAACATAAATTTATTGATATTGACACTCAGTTGTAACTTTGCCCAGTTGTAACTTTGAGAAAAGTAAAGCAATAGATAAACTTTTTTATTCCGCTGGGAAATCTGAAAACTTCAATCCCTTTTCGAAATAAGAAGTCTATCGTTTTTTTGTGACCGACTTTTAGTTTCGATAATGGAGTCTGTTTTGCTTTTAAGAAATGAAACGAAATGAATTTGAGAAAAAGTCAAACCGCGATTTAGGATGTCAGTCAGTTTTTTGCCATTTGCTGGTTTTGTTCTTAAAGAGCTTAATTTTCCTATTTTAGCAACTGAATTTTGGGTTAGGTTCGAACTTAGAAAAAAATCAGAAGTCAAACTGCAAAAGATCGTATTTGGCGCGAACAATGTTGAAGACTTTATCCTGAAAACTAGACGAGACGACCAATTCTTCACTATATTCATTGCCACTTGAAAACTTCTTTTTGTGATGAACACTTTCTGATAAAACTAGAGATATTTTTTATTCCGCTGTGAAATATCATAATTGCTACCATTTTTCATTGAAAAAGCATTAGTTTTTCGAACCATTAACTTTTTTCTAAATTGAGAGCATTTTTAAAATTTCTATATAAATTTAAAGTGAACAACGTAAGAAGGAACCAAAACAGACACGAGAAATGATGCTTCACGTAAGCCGAGGAATGTACCAAGAAGTTGATGTGTTGTAGGATGTAACCACCATCTGCTGAGATGACAGTTAAAGCTACGGCGACTTTGAAAAAACAATTCAGGAAGAAAACTTAAACGCGGCAATTAGTTTTGACAATTGCGTACATTGTTCTTGAAAAGAGGAGTGAAAGCAATCAGGGCACAGAAATTTTGTCGTATTATAGTCTTTTCATCTTGCTATCCTGTCGTCTGATTTACCTAGCACCTATGTTTTCTACCTTTTTTTCACCTTAGTTACCAGTCTATGTTACCAGTCTTTGTTACCACCTTTGCTATCACCTTAGTGTTGATTTTAAAAATAACGAAGTCATAATTTCTCAAAAATTTATTTGTAAAAATATGCTATCGAGTCTAAAAATCATTTCAAATAAACAACAATACATCTAATAAGATACAAATGATTTCAAATAAACAACCAAAACAAAATTAATCAAAATCACACCAATGTTTTTTTCATTCGGCTAGTTGTTGAGCAAGATATTATTGCACTTTATTTGTCTTCAATTCTTCTCCTTGGCAATTTTGGCCAAATCTTTGCATAAGTTCGCATCTGAAACAAAATCGTTATATACCCAGAAAAAAGCAAGAGAAGAGGAACAATTGATCTGCCACAAAACTTAAACCCTTCCTATTGAAAAATGAGCATGATCAAATCTTGAGACTTTCCTAAAAAACCTACCTGAAAAAACTGAATAATTGAACATTCTATTCTCATCGTAAAATTTAGCGCAACACTAGGCCGGGCGGATTTAGGGGATGGGGATTCGACCCTTTGGGACTATTTGCGACATCCAATTTCGGCCGACCGCCCCTAAATTTTCACAAAGGCGACTGTGGCGCCAATATATACCACTTTGATGGGGAGCAGAAATTTCCATAAAATGCCCAAAAACTGAGTTTTTGACTCTTTTTTTAAAAGTTCGACAATACCATAAAAATGGTCCATACTGGTAAAGCGTTCACTTCGAGGGCGTCAGATTATGCAATCGATCCCCTGCCATGACAGCGATAGTATGTGAGGACAAGCTACCCTGACTTCTAGCTTCAGGTCTACCACAGCCTGGCCAATTTCGGCTGCATGTGTGGAAGTTCAAGTGTGAAAGGTCCCCATGTGAAAGTTCAACACGCAAAAAAAACGTCCTTGTTTCGCGAAAAAAATATATATATCTTCGTTCAACAGGAATAAATTAGTCGAGAGAGGAAACAAGAGAATCTGGCTATCTTCAAACAGGCTGGATAGAATTCGATACATATTCTCTGCAAATTGCAAAACCACGTCTAATTATCTAATTATCAAAAGAGCGGGGAAAGATTGAAGGAGATAGACTAGCTAGTACCTTTCTGGAATTGTTTGTTGCCAGCGTGAGCTAGAGAGAGTGCAGACTTCGCATGTTGCTCCCACTCCTTCAGTCGCATCGACAACTCCTCGTCCTTCAAGTCTCGCTTCTCAATTGCCCTCTCCTTCTGCTCCTCTATCTTCAACAGGTTACGCTGGATCTAAACATTAAACAACACAAAACATAACTAACTTCAGCGCATCATTTTAAACAATTTATGGGACAAACAAAAAATAAAAATTAAATAAAACAAAAATAAACATATGGGAAGCAAGAGATCCGCCTCATGGAAGATTTATGGTGTAACGAGGGGTTTTACAAGGTTATGTATGAAGACCAAATATGTTTTTCATGTCCTAATTAGCAAGCATGTCAACTTTTTCAACAATCAGACAAGGTGAATAAAACATAATTGTAAAAAATGCAGGTGGGGGAAGGAAAAAGAGCCAGATCCGATAAAAAACAATAGGTTTGGAAAAACCTTATTTGGGCTCTTTTCCAGTTCCCCACACCATCCCCCACCCCCACCCCCACGTGGCTAGAGATTCTTTTTTGACTAAACTTTCTCCAATATGTGAATTTCAACAATCAGCCAATCCCCCTTTTTTACATAAGGAACCCACCTCATCTACTCTATTTTGAAAACTTCAACTTCAGTTGGTGCAGATGAATTGGGCTTTTTTTTCTCCTGTCCACATTTTTTAAAAGCTTAGATTTTTCAAATAAAATGTTTGTTCACATAGTCCTACTGTTATGAAAAACTAAAATCTGTACGTCGCGGAATATTAGGCCATGCAAAAAAATATATTAGCTCTTCATACCTAAATTTGTAAAACCACTTAATACGTTATAAAATAAAATTGATGCTCACGCGAGGTGGGGGAAAAAGAATAAGCCATTTTTTGATTTAACGCGTTATCTAAATGCGTTATCTTCGAATATTTATTCAGAATAGCCAACTGTCTCACCTTGCAAAGTTAATTAGATTGACAACCCTAAATAAGTGTTTTAAATGGTAATTTGCGGGCGAGGGGGGAGGGGGTAGAAACAGCTTTTTTTAGCCTTTCTTGAAATCACTGAATTTTAGCAAATGTTTTAAGGCTATTTTAGGAGTTTCCCACATCTACCGACGATATTGATTTTTCATAGAAGCAAACGAAAACTAAAACCGTTCAATTTCAAAATTGAACAACTATTTAAACAGTGTCATAATGCAATAAAACTTTAACAATGTCACAAGGCATGCTGAGCAATTATGTACAGATTTGCTTTTCATACCGTACATCCCAATCTTACGCGTTTAGCCATAATAACATTTAACACATTTATTAAAATTAAAAACAGGGGGAGGGGTGTGGAAAAAAAGCCTATTTGTGGAATCGGGTAATTATATGCACGCCAAATTTCAGATAAATCGAGCATATGAAACGATTTTTTCTTTTGGTTAAGTTCATAGGTGGGGGATGAAATTATATGTTTCCCGACCTCATAAAAGCACCAATTAAATGAGGTAATTTCAAATTTTGTGAATTTTTGTTTCCCTAAGAAAATTATCGTATCTCGCACACTAAAAGGATTCGGGTATTCATAATTGGAGGCCAAATGCGCAACCCCTCGGGCAACCTCCCACTATCGGGCATTCATAATTGGAGGCCAAATGCGCAACCCCTCGGGCAACATCTCAATATTGGGCTGCTTATTTTAAACTAGGTTAAATAACCACTGACTTCAAACTGGAAAATTCTGAACCATTGCAACTTACGACAAAGTTTAAACGTGAAAAAAATCTCTTTAGTTAAACATACCAGAACAATACGCTGAAAAAAATTACACGTGTAAAGATAGTGAATCCCGCATTTATCACAGAGGAGAAGCTGCGCTTCGCAAACACTTACGAGAATACGGCCAAAAAGCAGCTCTATCAAGTGAAATAAGAAAAAGTAGAAATAAGCCTCGAATTAGCAAAAACTCGGCTACGCGTAGGATTTGAATCGGCAACTTTGCAATTTTGTCTCACGCACTAAACACTCAGCCACGGATGCTTAAATTCCCCAAAAACTAGCCACTTATGCTAATAAATTGCCAATTCGATGCCGCAAAAGAGACACCAAGTACAAAGAGAATTAATTCGAAAGCATAGAGCCAAATTTTGTATAAGTTATGCGTGTCAAAAAAACTGCGAGATACCTTGATTTGGAAAATTTTTCAAATCGAGCTTTCCATCATTGTAGTGCTTTTTGAAACAAATAAATTTTCGGTTCATTTGATGAAGTAAAAATGCATCAACTATGCTAACTTTTTACTAATCAAATGCTAAAGCAAATATGACATTATACTACTACAGCAGCCTATCGTTCAAAGTGCCACCAAAACTAGCACTTTTATTTGCAACTTAGGTTGGAAAAAATAAGGTTCGTACTAATAGACTCGCTTCGCAAGTTAAAATATATTATAGATAACAAAAAGTAGAAATAAGCCTCAAAATAGTAAAAATTCAGCTAGGTCTCGGATTCATCTGAGACCAAGAGATAATTAGTCTGATGCACAACCACACTTGGTCACATGATATGAAACTTCAGATGCTATGGAATTTGATGGTATGAAACTTCCAAGGCAGATGCTATGAACTTTCAATGAACACTTTTATTTGCGAGATAGGTTAGAAAAAAGAAGGTTCGTACTAATACACTACGCTGATCGCTAGTTAAAATAGCCTAATCAGTCCGGCTGCTCATTTTTATCATAAAGCCATTGCTAGCCGAAGTTTTACGAGTAAAAAACGCAGGTAAGGGCGGGAGAGGCGCTAAATTATAGTGCTGTACAACTATATTAAGAGTTTTGTACTTTAAAATACATCATAATTGAAAACAATTTCAACCATTCAAATTAATACTAAATTCCCATTTGATTCGACAAAAACAAGCTTCAGCCTAAATCACAGGATTAGCCTTACACTTTGTTCACGTGCACGCAGACTCATATAGTTCTCTTCCTCGTTTTCCACATTCTCTCTCAGCTCCACAACTTCCTCGTGTAAGACAGACAACTCCTCATTAGTCGCCTCCAACTCGGCCCGCACTTCCGCCTCCCGATTCTCCAAGTGTTCGACGAGGTCTTCTTTGAGCTGATCGAACTTGGAGAAATCGTGACTTGGGCTCTCGTGACAATTATTCCAGTTGATGTGAGAAAAACAAGCCTTCACTTCTTTACTCTGAAGAAATTAATAGACATTTTCACTTCTCGACATATTAGTACTCTAAGGTGCAATCGTTTATTACCCTATTCCTGGTTAACAGCTGAACCAAAAGGACTACACTTTTGCATAAAATTATATATCTAGCTTGCAGGCTACGGTTCTAAAATTATTTGATACGGTGAATTGTTCAAGAAAAGGGCTAAAGGGATAGAAAAAATGCGATCACCTCAGTGGCCGGCCAGGATCGTATGCTCAATTATCTTTCAAGGCTCAGGTCTTTCAGCAAATCTTTTCATTTTTTATGTCTACAATCCACCCGAAAATAAATAATCTAGAGGCCAGCTAAAGCTAGAAATACCTATTTGATAGTTTATGATTTTTTTGTACTGATGCGGAAGGACAGGGGTAATTTGACTTTTCCGAGGGCCAGAACTTCTTGTGTTAAAAAGTTTAGGCGCAATCATTTATGCAGCGGAGCTTCCTACAACTCGTTCTACTCTTTGCAAACAAAACCTCAGATTTAGGAGGGCAGTTTTTGGGAGGGTCTGTTCTCATCGCATAATTTCGAATTCAACATTAGCCTCAAGGTTACATGTTTTATGCACTTTGTAGGTTGAAAATAACCTCTAAGTTCTTGTTGCCTTTTTCAACCCGTCCCTGAAATTCGCTGACTAGTCAGTCAGTCAGCAATCAAAGCCATGATCAAGATATCAATCGCGAATGCACTGTCGATCGGATAAAAACTGTTTTCAGTCGAAAAAGACTTTGTTAGTTACAGAACAATTGTTAACCATGCCGAATGCAGCCTTCACAGCCAAACTTGAAGGAATAAATCAACATTGACAACTCACGCCTTAATTCGAAGATAAGCCCACTTCATTTTATTAAGCCCTCATTTTAAATACACCCGGACTTTTATTCCGTTTTTTTTTCACACACGCAAAAAAAGAACATCGACTACTCGAAGAATTTGAACTCTCATAGCAAAAAAACGATTCAGGAATAATGATGGCCGATTTCGCCTTCACTTACGCCTTCCCAAAAGCTTAATGCATAAATCAATGATCGTTCCTTCCCATCATCCTCATGCATGCTTGCTTTGACTAGTATTCGAACAAAGATCTCTATGTTGTTAAACAAAAGCTACGAAGGGCGACAAAAAAGATCCTTAAGTATGCGGACTTTCCACACCAATACATATTGCTCAAATTGAACATTTTTGCTTTATCATTGAACATGCAAATTTACGATGTTATGACGCTGAGCAAAGTCATTAAGAACAAAACAACTTAACTGGGACGCAGAATTACCAACATAAAACAAAAGTGACCTTTTCAAAATATGCCGGAGATACCTCATAATGAACAAAAAATAAGTGACAAACAAGTGACATAAAAAATGAAACTACTTAGACTAAAATTTCTAGCGCCGCAGTCAAATTTAAAAAAGGCCACTTTGAGTCACCTTTACCTTTTGGAAAGCTTTTACTAGAACTAGTTTTTTGACGCGCGCTGTCCTTGAAATTAAGTATATATTGGCGCCGAAGGAGCATTTAGAAAAATTTTATAATCAGCCGGCCGAGAATGGGTCTCATCAAAAAGTACCAAAGGATGTTACCAAAAAATAAAGACCAGTAAGAGGATAGCTTTAAGAGACCAACAGTTACCGGTCAGTGTAATAGAGACCAGTTGGTAACCCTTCATGGATGAATTATCTCAATCGAAAATTTAAAAAGATGTGACTTCTGTCGATTGAAAACGCACCCTTCTTAGACTCGGAGAAAGCATTAGGGAAAGAGACCGAAACTCGAGGTAATAACAACAGCAACGCGCTTTGTTTAAGCGTCTTAAAACATTCAGACCAGTTTAACTCGACAGGGACAGCTTTTTTAAAAAGATTTTTCAAGAAATCGAAAAACGACTATCAGGGCTTTACAATGGTATTACACAGGACCCCCTTGAAGCTTTCCTTGAGATACCTAAAACGAAAAAAAAAAACAATTTTTTCAATTTTGCATTAAAACTGAGCAACATAATATGCAATTAACATATGAAAAGTCAATTAGTATTATAGCCAAAGTTCCGCTTGTGCACTAATCATGCCAATGTTGGTCACACTAGGCCGTTAACCAGAAAAATCCTAACACAGAGGCAAAGCTGCGCTTCGCAAACACTTGCGAGAACACGACCAAAAAGCAGCTCTATCAAGTGAAATGAAGAAAAGTAGAAATAAGCCTCTAACTAGCAAAAACTCGGCTACGTGGATGCGAATCTGCGACCTACGTCAATCAAAAGACTTTGAGTCTCACGCACTATCCCCTCAGCCACGCAAGCTTAACAACCTAAAAACACTAGTTACGAATAACGCGGCTACACATGCTAATAAATTGCCAGTGCAATTCAGCAAAATACAAGTAGTCTCAATTTTGCAAGTAATAATTTGAAATATAACAAACTGAAGGCATCCGCACTATCTTTGCATCTAACAAATCTGAAAGCATCGAGCCACATGATGTATAAATTATGCGATTCAAAAATTGCGAGTATATATTGTTAGAAAATTTCTGAAATCGAGTTTTCATTATTGTTATGCTGTTTGAAGCAAATCACTTTTTTCGGTTCATTTGATGAACTAAAAAGGCATCAACTGAGTTCATTTATTTCTATTCGAATGTCAAAGCACATGCTACAAAAAGCTGTAAAGGTGACCCAAAAGTGGCACCAATATTTGCGACTTAGCTTGAAAAAAAACATGTTCGCACTAATACACTAGCTTCGCAAGCGTAATAAACAATCACACACAAACGAATCATATTACATGTAGCTTTAAGCCCCAATGAGAACACGAACAATGAAGAATGGTCTTAAGAACTCACAAAAGTAGCCATTATTAACTTCAATTTGAAAATATTCTGTCAACAGGCACTAACAGTTGATTTACAGAGCGTCATACTTAAGCTATGAAAGTTGATGCCATCGCCTAGCTACACGACAAAAAGCAGCTCTTTAAAGTGCAGAAAGAAAAGCTGAAATAAGCCTCGAAGTAGGAAAAATTCGACAACGTCTCAATAGAAACCTACGACCTTCTGTAAACTACATCAAAAGAGTCTCACGAACTAAGCCATGGACGCTCAATTAGTGTCAAAACTAGCAACAAATAAAGCAGAGAACAGATGCTATGCAATTTCCAATGCAACAGTGAAATTTCTATATAAGTGAACACTTTCAATGATTATTTTTATTCGCGAGTTGGGTTGGAAAAAAATCGGACTAAGACACTAAAGCTCACACGTGTAATGAAAAAGTTCCCGAATGCAGACGATGTGTAAAAATTGAAAAATGATTTAATTCATTGACATCTAAACCTTTAGTCGAATTTATTCGAAAACATTTTACACCTTTATAATGCTGCAAGTGCGGTCCTGGGATTTTCTTGCGAATTTTGATCAAAATTTCTTCAAAAAAATACAGGCCAAAAAACGACGTTTTCAGACACTTTTTGAAAGACTATGACCAAAAAAAAAATCTTTTTTTTTCGGCGCACTTCCCAGCAAAATTACTATCTATTGGCAATATGTTATACTTAAACCCGCCTGAAGTGCCCAGAAGAAAATTTTGTCTTGCTAACATTCAGCAGCCAGGCAAAACTGTACAGCCACTTGCGAGCAAATTTCATATCTCATAAAACAGAACTTTAGTACCTTTGAAGGAAAGTGGAGAAGAAGTAAACGTTCTATTTCCTCTAACGTCATTTTGCACTTGTTCCTCGCTTGGCCAAACGCAACAGATGCTAATTCCTTCTCTCTTTCACATTGCTCTACTTCACAAGACAGTTCTGCAAGTTCCCTCTTGCTCTTTGCTATTCCAGCCATGATCTCTTCGAATTGCTCCAGTGATCCGAAATGCTGCTCGAAATCTTGACTTTTTTCCTCTAAATCGGCCCGCAAATCATCCCGAGCATCCAGCCGGGCTTTCACTAAAAAAAAAAACAAATGTCAGACAGAAAAAAAAACTTGACAACCCAATTAGCATAAAAATCTCTGGGATCAATTCAATTTCGGTCGAACTTCAAGTTAATTCATTCTTCTCAAGTTAATTCATTCTTCTAGTTTGGTCAATTCAATATTTATCAGTAAATTTCTTTCTCGGTTCATTTTTGCTGTAATATGCGGGTAGATTTTTTTCAAAAAAGCGTAACTGCGCTTCACACTCTCACAAATCGAGGTCAACAATCGAGCTCCGAAACAAAAATCTACAAGACAGGTAAAAAATTGATGTTAGGTAATTTAGAGAACTAAACACTTATTTCGACATGCACTAACGCATGAAGCGCGGTTAATTGCGATACTGAGCGAAACACCAGTCAAAATATAGCCAACAGACAGTGGAAAAGAGCCAATGAACGCAAGGAGACAGTCAAAATAATATGGACATAATTTTTGAAAAAACTAAAACGCTCAAATTTCGAGGAACATAGCCAACAGACAATTGGAAAAGAGTAATGAACGCAAGGAAACAGAAAAAAAACTGATTTGTTTTTTGAGCAAACTTCAACGTTCGATTTTTAAAAAAAAATAATGCCCTTAAAGCTCTTTGAATTTCACCAACAATTTATGATTGCTGCTTTAACGATTTTCAAAAGCAAGCGTTTCAAAAAATGACGCTTCAAAATTAAGGCTAAATACACTTAACGTAGAGAATACTCCTCTGATAGATTAAAAAAAACAGTCATTAGTATCCCACGATTGGTACGAGCGAAAAAATGCAAAAAATATTCTTTTCATGAAAAAGATCTTTATGACCTATGTAAAAGTCTTCACTATGTTCTTGGACTCTTAACCATCACAAAAATTACTCAACATTACCAAGGGCACTAAGTTGAAGTGCAGCTAGAAAAGGAACATCATCGACAGTTCTTTCTTACTCCTCCATGTCCCGAGTAGCCGGAACAATGAGTTGTGTCAAATTGTTATAAAACTTTACGATCAAAAACTTTTGCATAAAGTTGATATGCAAAGATTTCTAATCAGATCCAGAGACTCGAGCAAAAAAACTGAATCAAAACAACCAATAAGAGTTTAAAAAATTGCTGATGATGATTTATACAGTCGCTCGCCTAGTTTTGTGAAATAACGAGTAAAATGCTTGAAACATAACCAAGTAGCCTTTATCCGTTAGCTTCTGCTGATCAAACAATTTTACCATTGAAAATATCTTCTTTCATGTTCACTTTACAAATCAGAAAAAAACTAACATCTATAAACCGTAATCAGTATATAAGTCATATAAGCAGTATAATCGTTCGTGCACATGTAAATCGATTATTGAGGGTTAAATTATAAGCATAAACATAAACAATCAGAAACTAAAATACCGAAAAACGCAATAACACAAGAGTATATTCGACCCTCTACAAGCAAAATTAAACCGCATATCAAATGATTCTGATTTCCCGTTTTATTTTTTCAGCTATGTACTTGAAACTTTACGCAATCAGCACCATCCGTTCAGTGGAACGACTTATCAGTCCTTCTCGCCTGAGATATGCGAACCGTTAAATTACAAACATAGCCAACAGAGTTGGAAAGGATTCAATAAACGCAAGGAAACAAAAAATATTGACTTGCTTTTGAAAAATACATGCCCTTAAAGCTCTTTGAATTTCAAGAACAATTTCTGCTTGGCTTTTTTTGATAAAAACTAACCCAATTTGAAAACACAGGACCAATAGGTATAACTTTTATTCCGCTGGTCACCGTTTTTCGTACCCTCAGCACGTTTACTGTTCGATAGTGGAGTTTGCTTGCCTTCTAACTAAAGAAATAGAATGAACTTACAGAAACGTCCCAAAGAAACTGAATGTTATGAAGAGTTAATTGTAACAAGTTGACCAACAAACATGTGAACAAGCAAAGATAGATGTGGAAATCCTAGCCAAAAGACAGTTGCAAAAGCGTCAATTAACTCAAACACCAAAACAGTACTGATTAATTTTCAAACATTTTCAAAATATATACGGCTTTAAGCTTTTTAAATTTGAAGAAATTTTATGACACTTTTCAAAAACTAGCCAAATTGAGAAAATTGGGTCAACAATAAATTTCTTTATTGCGCTCAGAAATCGAAAAACTAAAACCAGTTTTGGAACTATAAGTTAGTAACAATGTTCCGTCATTTGCACTTTTATTATTGGAGAGCGTAATTTTCCTCTTATAGCAAATGATTCTGCATTGAAACCGCAAAATAATATTGAACAAAAACTGAGAACTTTTCCAGATAAGTCAGCACGAACTAAATAAATGTCTTCATTGACACTAAAAATCCACTCGAAAAAAAATTCGAACATTAACTGAAGCTGCTTTCAAAGAATGAGTAAAATATTATTTAAAAAATAGTATCCTTAAAAGCAATCGATTTGTGCCAACTCACATTCTGAATGGAACCTTCCAGCCAATAATTTTGGAAAAAAAATCTAGAAAAAAAAGCTACTGATTATTTTTTCAAGACTAAATAGTAAAAATAATAATTCGCAAGGGCCTAAATACTATTAATCTAAGCTCAAAAATTTATACATTACAGTTAGCTGTACAAAAACAAAGATATTTAAATGTCGGATCGTGTTAAAACAAGAAAAAAACATTCCGAGAAAAAACATCGAATTATATTGTATAACAATAGTCCTACAATTTATTAGAGGGAGGCGCATCAAAGCTTCACGCCTCATGCATTATCCAAGGTTCAAGAGAAGAAAAGACGACGTAAAAACGCTGACCATTGCAAAAAAAAGACAAAAACCCAAAAAACAGACGAACTTATTCTAGACAAACTCTATCAACAGAAATAAACTCAATCATTGCATCAAGCAAAAACAACCGAAAATTTTCGTTTTCTTTTCCAATTTTTGTATTTACACAAAATTTATACCTCGACAAAATTAGAACGAAGCTTCAATCGAAATTTTCTTAAAAACTAAGAGAAACAAGAACAGACTAACTATTAACAAAACGCGCCACAAAACGCGACAAAAACGTCTATAATATGCGACAATCTTGGACTAAACTTAACTGCACAATAAGTAAAATCATTAGAACAATCTTATTGGATTTCAGAGACCCGAAGTAAACAATACAACAAGGGAGCGGTGGTTAAGTGATTACGCCTCCGCCTCTCAATGGAAAGGTCGGATGTTCGAGGCTCACCATGATCCGTGCTCGTTGCTTGAGGGTGAGGCAGCATTACCCAGTCAAAAAAATAGCCAAAGAAGATCCAGGAGCACTTATGTGTGAAAAGCTCATAAGTTAGACCTTCAAGTTTCAGTGAAGTAAATTAGTCTTGAAGAAAAACCCTACATTTTCCAGCAAAACAAATGCGATACAACTTATGCGCAAAAAAGCAATTGCGCTGAAAAAAAAAGACGTTTCGTTCCGAAGGAAACAGCTATAAAATATACTAGCGTTTAACGCACCTTCGGTGCTTCGAAATTTTTCGACAACTCATGAAAAACCGCATATATTGGAAACAACATCTGCAAACTTTTAGTGTACTCTGACTGCACTCAATTACAGGGTTGGTAATTTCGAACTTTATTTTTTTTAATTCCTATTTTAAAAGCGTCATCTCGAAAACTTAATGGGCTTCTGGAGAAATTTGGAGGCCAGATTTGCAACCACTGAGAATCCTTGAGAGCACCCTACTATAGGGTTAGGAATCCAAAATTTTTCAGAATTTTTTTAAACCTAATTTTCCCGAAAAAAATTTAAAAAAAACGTCTTATCTCGGAAACTAAAAGGATTTGAGCATTCATATTAAGAGGCAAGATTTGAGACGCCTGGCTGTACGCTGACAAAAGGTTATATCTTCATCAAGTTAGTAATTTCAAATTTTTTGAATTTCTTTGTAGATAAGTTCTTTGAAAAATTTTGAAAAAATCAAAAAACTTCACATCTCGGAAACTAAAAGCATTTGAGCAGTCGCGTTTAGCATTCGCATGTGGCAAGATTGGCAATCTTTGAGATTACTCTGACAGGACCAAAGTACAGGGTTGGGAGTTTCAGATTCTGCGGAAGAAAAATTAATATAAGTTTTTTTCTGAAAATTTTTTGAAAAATCACAAAAAAGTCATCTCTCGAAAACTACAAGGATTTGAACAGTCATATTTGGAAGCAAGATTGTAACTCCTTAGAGTATTCTGACAGCACCCAAATACAAGGTTGGGAATTTCAAATTTTGAGAATTAATTGAAATTTTCTGAAAATTTTTGAAAAAATACAAAAAACGTCATATCTCGAAAACTACAAAGATTTGAGCAGTCATTTTTGGAGGCAAGATTCACAATCCTTGATAGTACTGACAGTACCCAACTACAGCGTTGTGGATTTCAGAATTTCAAAGAACAATAATAATTTAAGTTTTCTGAAAATTTTAGAAAAAAATCACAAAAAACGTCACATCTCGAAAACTACAATGAACTGAGCAGTCATATTTGGAGGCAAGATTCGCAATCTTTGAGATTACTCTGACAGGACCCAACTACAGGAGTGGGAATTTCAGATTTTGCGAAAAAAAATTAATATAAGTTTTCTGAACATTTTTTGAAAAAATCACAAAAAACGTCATATCTCGAAAACTACAAGGATTTGAACAGGATTTGAACTCCAAGGATTTGGAGGCAAGATTTGTAACTCCTTAGAGTATTCTGACAGCACCCAATTGGGAACTTCAAGTTTTGTAAATTATTTTATTTGAAATTTCTGAAAATTTTTGAAAAAATCTCAAAAATCGTCTTATCTCGTTAACTAAAATGATTCGGGCATTCAAAATTGGAGGCCAAATTCGCAACCCCTAATTCGATATCGGGCTGCTTAATTTAAACTCGTAAAGTAACCACTAAAATCAAATTGGAAAATCGAAAAAAAAATTCTTAACCATTGCAATATACAATATAGCTTAAACATGCAAAAATAATACGTTGAAAAAGCTTAAACATGGCGAGATAGTGAAGCCCGTATTTAAATATATAATAGATTAACACGTCAGGTTTATACGCCAAGAAAAAACGGTACCGTCATTGAGTAATTCCATAAACACCATGTCTCTGGAAACCATTGATCGCATTATTCTTTTCAGTTCGGGAAGATCTTCTTTCGCAGTTTTGTCCAGGTCCACTGTCTTCTGCAATTGTCCGTCAAAATCCAGGTCAATCCCAGTAAGCATTCCATCTTTTTCTTCAAAATCAGTTTCACCGACGTCGTTGACAGAAGGATGAACCAATATGTACACATCTCTGAGATATGAAAGAATGGCTAGATTGTACGGCCACGATGACGAATTATTGGGATTCATAATTGAACTTTTGTGCACTGCATAAGGATAATCCAGAGTTTTCAAATGTGTCAATATTATTTCATTGGAAGCTAAAATGGACAGCACGTTTAAGAAGCATTCGTTGCATTCTAAATGAACTTGAAATCTGCAGATTCATATCTTACATTTAGCTGGTATTGATACACTCAGCAGCTCAAGAAAAAAGAAGTTGTACATCTCTCGGACTAGTCGAGCAGTCGGTAAATTTTTCAATTGCTTGAGAGAGGCGTGGAAATCAAAATCAGTACATCTTACTTCTTTGTCTTCAAAGAATTTGGACAAGGAGTAAGCAATCTTTCTGCACAAGTCTTTGTCTTTAACTATCGGGTCTAATCCTCCACTTACACCTCCTTTCAAAGATGACGTTCGAGAAATTGCAGATGACATTTTCTGAAAACAAAGCTAATGATTGCCAAGGTGCACTTTATTTGATGTAAAAATTTACTACACTAGTCTTTCATCAACTCTTCCAGTCAAAAAACCATCGGAATTTCAAAAATTAGGGAAAAGTAAAGTAAAACGTGAATTAAAGTAAAGAGTAGGATGGCTGGGAATCAAGCCAACCAGATTGAGAAAATTAACACCTGCACAGAATGAACTGAAGTTGAACGAAACTTAGAGGAGTTAAAAAACCTAAGAATCAGTTCACAATTAATATTAGTTGCAAAGTAATTATTCAATAAATTGCGGTGAAATTAAATTTTACATCGCCAAAATCAACAGTTAAGAAATCCTCAAAGAAGTTACTACTACAACTGCAACTGCTAAAAGACATTATTACCAAAATCATGATAGAAACAAGTACAATGAATCGATGAATTATTGAAGTTCTGCATATGTTGCAGCGACATTTAACGAAAAAAGAACATTAAGAAACGTGATTTAGGCAAAACACCATTCTCGTGAAACAATTACAGGAAGCAATTGAAACAATCCAAAATGTCAAAGGTGTAAAATCGTTTTTTTCCAAATAACTTGCAGAAAAGTATCCAGTCGGACCATGTAGAAACAATAAGGCAGTAAATTTTTTTTAAGCCGCACAGACATTTTACTCAAGCCAAGAGAAAAAAGGAAAGAAACAAAAATGAGAAACTAGACTACAGGTCAGCCATAGACGCTCTAAAAACCGGATCGAATACTGTACCTTTCGTGGAGAAAAGAGACCTGCTTCTACTTAAACAACCAAAGATTCAACGAGCAAAAATGAAATTATACATCTAATGATTGAGATTGTTTTTGAATAGTCCACTTTAGTTTTGTCTGACAACAGAGGCGCGAGTGTTTCATTGAAAAATTTACATTCGCTACCTTGCAGCCGGTTGAGCCAAGAACAAGTGATGCTCAATACCCATTAGTCTCTGATTTTAAGCTCTATTCTTCTCGTTCTCTTGCACCTTAAGCACCAAATCAAATTTTATCGACGAATGGCCCGGTGGGTTGGGATAAAACACCCTTACATCAAAAGATGCACAGTAACCACTTTCACTCCAAATATTGAGGGCACTTATATCAAGTCGAGCGTTTTCTGATGTAACGCTTGATCTTGCAGCAAGTACTTCAGTGTCGACAGAAAGCAATGCAGGTTCTTGTCTTACTTTATGACACACTTCGGACAAAAGAGACCTGCAAGCATAGAACAAACATTAACTTGTCTCATGTGAACGAAATCACCTTTTTTACAATAAACTGCCTAATTTAGCCTAATTGCTGTGATACACTTATTAAATAGTTTCATGTGATATGACACGCTCATAATGGTACGCGTGTAAGAAGGCCCGGTACGGGATTTAAGAGACAAGTTCGTCAAGCAGCGATACTCCCCCTTTACCCAGATATCCCCGCCGGAACCTCCACCTGTGAAAAAACAGGTTGTAACCGCTTTCAATTCTTTTTTAAGTATTTTTTAAATCCATTTCTCTATAATCCATTTTACAATCTATTCTTTCTCTTGTTTTGCGTCTTTTGTACCCTGTTCAGTGAATGTCCGTGCCGAAGTACAGGCCGAAGTGGCTACCCAAGTGAAGCAGGAAACTGGTAATATGAACGAAATCATTGAAGGAAAAACAGTCCTTAGTATCCTGAAAGAAAAACACCCTCAAGCCAAAACAGCTAACACTAACTATATAACTGAAATAAGTGAAGACACAATGCCAAACCACCCCTCTATATTCGAACAAATAAACGCCAAGACAGTTCGAAAATCAACCCTGAAAACGCATGGACGTCACGGTCCCTCAGGTCCAGATGCGTGCGAATGGAGAAGGATATTAACTCACATCAACCAGACACCCATTGAGCTTTGCAAAAAAATTGCTAAACTATCCTATACAACAACAACTAAAGTTCTCCCCATGAAAAACTAACAGCATACAACGCGTGTCGTTTGATACCTCTGGACAAAAATCTAGGGGTACGGCCCATTGGTATAGGCGAAGTTCTGAGAAGAATAATTGGCAAAACAATCACCCAATGTATAAAACCAGAAGAAATTTTTGCTAAAAAGTAAATTTCAAACGTTTTCGCAACTATGGGCATCGTCAGTATTTTTACAAAAAACTACTCTAGATGACGATAAAACATCTATTTACAAATGTTATTTACAATAAATCACATACAATTTAGTTCTAAACCATCATGATAAAAAATTAGCCAATCACAGTTGACCTCTAAATTACTATTGAGATTAAAATACTTTTAACCTCTAAAATTAGTTAAACATTTTAAAATTAATTTGTCTGGAAGTTTCAGAGTCATAATTTCGATTTAGACATGTACGTTTTGAATAAAAAACCAAAAATATTTTGGGACTAAATTTTCAGTGTTAACTCCCTGCTCCTAAACTCATCGCGCGTGTTCAAGCCCGGTTTCTCTTTCCTGATATGTATTGCCTCTAGTGTTAGCAATTTGGTTTGGTTGTTTGAACTATCTAAAATTTCCCAACTAAGATCTGCGCTATTTCCATCAAGTTGGCATTGCTGAAGGTGGAGGCCTACCGCTGAGTCTGCTTTCTTATGTTCCTCAATTCTAGTGGTCAAATGTCGAACAGTTTATCCGACATATGTGGAAGTGCATCCCTTACATGACAGTTTATAAGCCACTCTTGACTTGAGTTCATTAGAGAATGCTGACTTCAGTGATGGTAAACATGATTGTAGTTTTCTTGTGGTGAAAACCACTTGAACGTTAGTTAGTTTTCGTAACCTGTTAGCAAAATATTGGCTCTGGTTACCTCTATATTGCACCATCAGCATTGGAGGCTTCTGAGAAAACTATTTGAGAATTAAAAAACTCGGAAAAAATCTTATAACTCTGCTTAGGCCAGAAGTGTGGAATCAAATAGTTTGAGAAACCGGAAACGGACGTCATACTACTTATTGATGCAGAAAATGCCTTCAACTCGCTTAATAGACAACTTTCTCTAAAAAAATCCTTCTCCGGCGCTACATCATGCGCTGGCCAACTCATATAAACATCCCTAATATCTCTATGCCAGAACACGGTTTTGACATCTACCGAAGGCACAATGCAAAGTGATCCCCTCGCAATGGCTATGTACGGAATTGGGATAATCCCACTAATTGAGCTCCGGCAAAAACCAAATGTCACCCAAAATGGTACACAGATGATGGAAGAGCTGCAGGTGATCTTAATGGTCTCCGCGCAATACTGGACAACCTGGATATGCACGGAAAGGCTTTGGATACAATTTGAAGCCTTTCAAGTGTCAACTCATAGAAAAAGAAAACCGACGTGACAGCGCCATAAAAGTTTTCGGAGGCAAAAATATTACAATGGTAGACGGTTTCGGAGTCCATGGATCGGTTATAGGAACACCATCAGCATGCGACAAATACATGGAAACTGAAATTGAAAAATCAGCTACCCTAACTGAAAAGCTTTCCAAAATAGCTAAAACATCACCACAAAATGCGTACTCCTGCTACACAAAGGAAGTTCATTTAGGAAAATGGATGAAATTGAGAAAAATGTAATTTATCAGCTGACTCCTAGTTTTACTGATAAAAACAATATAACCGATGAAGATCGCAACCTTGCTGCACTACCACCAAGAATAGGAGGACTAGACCTCCTCAGTAACACGGACGTTTTCAAAAATATGAGTAGTCACAAGCCATTTGTGACCCGTTAGAAAACATTGATCCAGAAATAGCTGAAACGGAACAAACTCTGATAAATAGAAACATCAAAACTGAGAGACAGTACATCACACTCTCAAAAAAAGCTAAAATTATGCAAAATTGCTCATCAGAAAAAAACCTGACAATAAGTCTAGCGTCAAAGAAAGGAATATCGAATTGGCTAAGCGTGCCACCCTGAAAAAGGTACAATTTTTTCTTCAACAAATCAGAGTTTAAAGATGGATTACATCTGAGATATGGATGGGAACCACCAAACACCCAAATACATGCCCTTGTGGACAACTGTTCACACTGACCCATTCTCTAAACTGTCTCAAAGGTGGATACACTCGCCTGAGACATAATGAAATTTGCGATACCTTTGCGACACTCCTGCACGAAATATTCCATGATGTTGAAAAAGATCCGAAACTTCAATCGTTGGAAGGCGAAAGTTTTCACAACAAAACAACCACTACTGAAGATGACGCTCGACTTGACATCAAGGCAAATGGAATCTGGCAGGACCGATTCAGCTGAATTTTTTTCGATGTAAAAATTTCAACCCCCATGCTAAATCCTGTCCCAAAACTATATCTGACGCCTACAAACAACATGAGAGTGTCAAAACATTGAAAGACCAACAAAGAATTCTGGATGTGGAACACAGCAGCTTTGTTTCACTAATTTTTGCGTGTACCAGAGGAGCAGCACCAGGCTCTACAAAAACCATCCAGAAACTAGCAGAGAAACTAAGCAAGAAACGGAACGAATCATACTCGGACACAATAAGTATGACAACCACAATGACAATCATACTCGGACATATTACAATTTTCCTCAGCTGTGGTAAACCATGTCAAAGATGATTCCTTTTTCAGCAAATCGATGCATCTTCTCAACTCCAGGCTATAATAGATTAACACGTCAGGTTTATACGCCAAGAAAAAACGGTACCGTCATTGAGTAATTCCATAAACACCATGTCTCTGGAAACCATTGATCGCATTATTCTTTTCAGTTCGGGAAGATCTTCTTTCGCAGTTTTGTCCAGGTCCACTGTCTTCTGCAATTGTCCGTCAAAATCCAGGTCAATCCCAGTAAGCATTCCATCTTTTTCTTCAAAATCAGTTTCACCGACGTCGTTGACAGAAGGATGAACCAATATGTACACATCTCTGAGATATGAAAGAATGGCTAGATTGTACGGCCACGATGACGAATTATTGGGATTCATAATTGAACTTTTGTGCACTGCATAAGGATAATCCA